TCCGTCTTGTTGAGCGCCTGGATCTCAGAGACCATAAGAGCTAGATCCACCAAATTTTGCATCCAGACTTTTGTATGCTCACACTGTTACAAGTGTATTAAAAAAATGAGCCCCGCCCCTTCCGCCCCCGCAAAATCCGAAAACCTCCCATACCTACAATTTTGAAGATAAAAGAAAACTAAAAACGCCATTCCGTAGGGACTGAGCATTTCATCAGATCACCACATTGAGATCCGATTGGATCATTGTTATAGCCAGAATGAAGAAATTAATTTGCAGTGGCTTAACCACCCCGTCCCACAGCTTATATTTGCCGTGAGAAGTGTTGTAGATGAAGATGACCGATGAAGAAACACTGTAAAATTTGACAAAAAACCGCTAAGGAACAGATGTAGTACTGAGTACCGGGTATAGAAGTTGTGACGCGTAAGAAGCGTCTCACACGTCCCTTCTCGTTTTGGTAGCATTCATTCAATACTATACAAAATGTTTTTGTTTTGTCTGGTATATATCCTGGCATCCATGGCATATATTCGATAAGAAAAACCGGGACTTTAAAAAGATTTAAAAAAAAAGTGGATTTTGCTTTGGCATTTTTTCCCTGTCCGATTATGCGTTGAGTCTCAAAAAATGATTTTTTTTGGTTTTTCGATTAAAACTAACTGTTCTCACTAAAAAGTATGACCTAAGTTATTAAAAATTTAAAAAACGGTTTGTTTAACGCATTCCCATATACTTTTTGAGCACATTCGTACAGAGGAAATTTTTGTTCGATTATGCGATGTACTCGACATTCACTGTATGTCTCTCTCGTTCTGCCCTCAGCAATAATCCAAGACGCATGCCAAATGATGCATCGTGTGAACAAAGCGTGAATCCTCACATACATGAAAGCTCTACGCGATTCAGAATCAGCGTCTAATTCGAGCTTTAGTTTTTTTTTTCGTTTCCTCGCGGTACATAACAGAGTTCGGATTTCCCGTCGGCGTCAACGATATAATTACAGTTGTACAGTGAAGATTGAGTCTTGGTTTTGGGTAAAATATATACATTGCATGTATGTAAGTTCAGTGTTTCTTTTAAATAATTTGATCAAATTGTATCTAAATTACAGTACTTAACACGATTTTTCCGCTTCGAACCAAACCAACGTTTTCTGAAAAATAGATTTAAGTTATGTTAAAAACAAACCGCTACCTCTGAAAAAAGCTTTAAAAAAGTTCTGTCATAGAAAACAAAACAAGGAGTGACCTGTTCTTCTTACGCGTCACAGCTTTTATACCCGGTATTCTGTCAGAATAACTGTACCTTTTTGTTGTTTTTACATACAAAATTTGACATGATACATTTTTTCTACATGTGTCATCTACATCACTTCTCACGCCAATACGCTCTATAAGCTCGCCCCTTCCGCTATAGCCACACACTTAACTAAGCAGAGTGTGGATGAGAGAATACAGAAGTCTGGATGCCCAATCTTTTATGGTCTCTGAGTACTAGGCGCTCATAAGGACGGACAGAAGCACAGACTGACGGACACGTAGACATGCCAGTATCGACTCGGTTATTGATGCTGATCAAGAATATATATAATTTGTGGGGTCGGAAACGCTTCCTTCTGTGTCTTACATTTTCTTTCGTCGAGTACTGTGTATAAAAAAAAAACCTCAACTATTAACCTATTCGAACGGAGCTGCTCGTAGGAGCAACATCTAGGAGAGAAAGTGAAAATAAAATTTCGGAAATAAAAGTAAATTTTTGAGCCGAAGTTGCCTTAGCAAAAACTTTCAGTTCGTAAATATAAAGCAAAAGTACTATTCGATTCACAAAACAAAAGCAAACAAAATAGTGGTTACTGATAAGCAATAACAAAGTGTTGTTGTTATCATGAACGACGACGAAGACGACACAACGGTTTGGAACTGG